TGTGTTGTAAATGAGGTCACTGGAACCCAGGACAGGGAGGAAGGGTATAGGGTGGTGGAGGGAAGCTCTCTGAGCTGCAAAATGCTGAGAAAGAAAGCACCTTGGAGATAAGAATCAACAAAAACAAAGAATGGGGCCCAAATCTTCTCACAGATGAGTAGTCCCTCCTACTCCCCTTTCCGAGGACTCTTCACAAGGGGCCCAGTGCCTCTAAAATAGATCACGGGATTTGGAGTTGCTCATCTACTTGAAGATGAGGCCTCTGTCCTCCTTGTTTTCCCTGTGATATCAGAAGGGCCAAGTATTATGCCCTAGTCACATCATGGGAACTCAAAGCCTATCTGTCAATTGATTGGAATTAAATTTCTGGTGATTTCTAGTCACCTTGTTTTTTTAATTTGCAAAGGTATACTGTCATGGTTGGATTACGTTTGACTAAGTATTGAGTAAATTTGTACTTAGTAGTAACTTAGAGCAGAAAATAGGGAGGGGTAACTTTTGTCTGCTGAGCTTGGAAATGTAACTTCACAATAGAATGAATACTCAATTTTAAGGTCTTCCTCACACACAGAATTTTAAATAGTAGCACATTAAAATAACCATATGAATGACTGATGAGTAGTGTTGTTCCAGGGAATTTACACTAATAAATATTAAATGAATACGTATGCCTGATGGTGGTGGTGCATGCCTCTTATCTCAGCATGGGGTGGGGGGGGACAGGTGGATGGATCTCTGAGTTCGAGGCCAGCCTGGTCTACAGAGTGAGTTTTAGGACAGCCAGGAGTAAACAGAGAAACCCTGTCTTAAAAGAGAGAGAGAGAGAGAGAGAGAGAGAGAGAGGGAGGGAGGGGGGGGGGGTGGGAGGGAGAGAGAGAGAGAGAGAGAGAGAGAGAGAGAGAGAGAGAGAGAGAAAACAGTAATGCTAGAGAGAAAAAAATATATACTACCCCAGCAGTGGAAAAAGCATTTCTCAGAGGAAGAAGTTGGTGTTTCAAAACCTGTGAGAGCACAGTAACTTACTCAGCTAACTATATATTTAAAAATTTTTAGTATTGATGGATCCAAAGTTTAAAGCAGTCAGTGTGTGTGTGTGTGTGTGCACGCACGAACGTGTGTGTCCATGTACTCTGGCACATATACAGTTTAGATATATGTGCCCAGGAAGACCAGAGGTCGATGTCCAAGTGTCTTTATTGGTCTCCACCTTAATTTTTTGAGACAGGGTCTCTTGCTGAGTCTATAGTTTGCTGACTGGCTACACTGGTTGGTAAGGTCAGCTTTTATAAGTCCTGGAGATCCAAAGTCAGGTTCTTATTCTTGAGTATCAATCATTTTATCAACTGCATCATCAGTCCTGATTAAAATATTTTTATTTATGAAACGAAAGTCAACTGGAAAAAATGTAGATAAAAATAATTGATACTTTAATTTTTTTTTAAAGTTATGCCTATGGAGATGTATGCAGGTAGGACCTTGGCCCTGAAGAAGGATTGATTAAGCAAACTATACACAGGTGTCTGTGATCTCCCAGAGTCCTCCCAGAATGCTTTGCAACCAGTTCTAGGGAAAAATAACAGCCTCCTTAGCACCAGTGAATTCATGGAACCTCTCTCCTCTCTCCCCTCTACTTTCCATCTGAAGGAGAGGGAATAAGGGACCTCTTTGTCCTGAGGGTCTGTCTCCCCTCTATCTTCCACCGGAAGGACAGGAAAATAAGGGGCCTCCTTGCCCTGGGAATCTGTCCAACCCTTCTGGGAATTGTGAAGACTGTACTCTGTTTGCTCGATCTTCTGGATTAGGATATGTACTAAGTCACATACACTACCTGAGTGTCCTCTACGGCAAGTCAATAACCCCTACCTGCCCATCCCCCACATTGTTTGAATGCCCTACTTTATTCCCAAGCACCAGCCTTTGTCTGGAATCCAGTAGGTTTTTCATTTCCTGGTTCCCTCAGGCAACTTGTAGAATCAGAGGACAGCCTCTCCATCTTCCACCCAGAAAAAAACAGAGACAGAAGGATTCTAGGCAAGTATTAACTGTAATCTGGATTATTTGTTGTTTTGGTTGTACTTCTTTTGTAATAAACTACTTTTTGTTTGTTTGTTTGTTTGTTTGTTGAGATTGGGTCTCTCTACAAAGTCCTAGCTGTCCTAGAACTCACTATGTAGATCAGACTGGCCTTGAACTCACAGATATCCGTTCGCCCCTGCCTTTTTAGTGCTAGGATTAAAGGCATGTGCTGCCACACCCAACAACATGCCATTAAAAACCAAAACAAAGAACTACATGTCTGGGGGCTGTATATGTACAGGAGTCAAAGACCTTTAAAAGCCAGAAGCTTAGATCTCCTGGCGTTAGAGTTACAAGCGACTGTGAGCCACCTGACATGAGCAGCAGCTAATGTGGGTGCTGGGAACCAAACTTCTCTACGACATCATCTCTAAACTGCAACACCAAGTCTCCAGCCTTTGAAGCATACTACTAAGAGCAGGAACCACAAAAGAAGAAGTGGATGTCTTGATGGCCTACCTTTTCAATTGTCTGATACTGAAATATTTTCAGATGAAATTATAAGATGTTGAAGACACAAGACTTGCTCATCTGTGAGCTGCTAGCTGTAGAGTCTGGGTAATGAGTTGATGGGCACGGGGGATTTTATACATACTATGCTATTTCTGTAAATGTTTGAAGGTATTCTTTATAATAAGAAGTATGTTTTTTAAGTCCAGTGTTTTCACAAACTGGGCACATTGTTTATCATGAACTTATTAAAATGTCAGGGTGAGGAGGCTAGGTAGACTCTTCAGTGAGCAGACAGCTTGCTATGCAAGCATGAGGATCTGAGGTTCGTTCCCTGGCACTCATCAAAGGAGCCAGATGTGGTAGTATGTTCTGTAACCTCAGCATGGGGTGGGCAGAGACAGCCAGATGAGGGGGTAGGGAAGCTCGCTGCTTAGCCAGCCTAGATAAAACAGCGAGCTCCAGGTTCAGCAAGAGACCTTGTCTCCAAAACAAAGGTAGAGGGAGAAAGAAGAAAATAATCCATACTAATCCTTGGCACCTCCACAAACAACAACAACAACTGTAAGGACCCAGAAAGAGGACCCCAACTCAAGTCCCAATTAGCGCG